ACAGAGAGCACACAAATCATTACGTATCTGTGCGGGTTAGACGCCACTAACACAACTCAAAGTTAAAAAATATAAACGGGCTAATAAAAGTTTATTGCACAACTACTAAGTTCAGCGAACAGGAGCGAGTTCTTGTGTGGTAAACTTTCGAGACTTCAATTGTGATATACAACATTTTATTCGGAATTGGCTCTTAGCTTGACATAGCAACGCTCCTGTAGACGGGGATCTAATGGAGTGGAATTCGGGCTTAGTGAGCTATCCCAGAGAGCGCTCTCCGGTGCAACGCTGTAATTAACAGCGAGCGTGCCTGAATCTTCCCCAACGGCAAGAGTGCCCTTAACATAATATGACTTACTTACTAATTGCAACTAACACGTATGTAGTGGCGCCGTTCCGCTCATGCGATGGAATTCTGGTAAGATCGTTTTTCCTTCTTCTGAGATCGTTTCCTTCAGGAGTTTTCTCTGTGGACAATCAGATACGCCAAGAAGTTCAAGAGTATGCTACCTAAAAAAGAACGGACTCCAAGTCTTGAGCCAGAGGCTTGTAGACTTGTAAGGCTTTTCGAGTAGATCGTCGTCCGGCCCTGAGGACGACGTCTACTCGAAAAGTCAGTCCGGTATCAGTCAAAGGATCTCCTTAGCACTCATTGGGCATTAGAACGAAAACCCTTATAGAAAGGATTCCTCTTACTGCTAGAATTGCAGCGCAACTCAGCACCTACCTGTAAGAGAAACCCTGTGCTTGTTACCAGCTACTGTTCTGCAAAAGACCAGAGAGCAACGTTGTGCTCGTTTAAAAGATGCAGTGTTGTAGGCATAATAAATTTCAACTTCCTCATCAAAACCTAATGGGGGATAGCTCCAAAGTAGAACGTATTCAGAACAAGTATCACACTTTACAGTAGAACGCATTAAATTGCAGCACATCACTTGATTCTGAAAAAAAGACCTCCAGGTCTGTGTTCCGGTTCACGAAGGACTATCTATGAAAAAGTCTGTGAGCCTTTTGAAGGTACATCTCTGTAAAGTCATGGAAATATCACGAAATAGCGTACTCCAGCTTCAACAAACAAGCAGTTGTCAAATAGCGAGGTAAATGTAAGGTAAAATAGGTCTGCGAGTAGAATGCAGGGTAAAATGGACCTTTGGAATGCCATGTGCAGGTTTCTATAAACCTCAGCTTGGTCGGCTGTAACTCGCTTAGCTTTAGAGTTACGGAGGTCGATAAAAAAGTTCGACTGATTTTCGACAAGATTTTTCCTCTTCTTCTGAGCCGGATAGGATCAAAGCAAATTACCACTACTCACCCGGATTAAAGGCAGTTGGCACGATAAATCGCTATACAGGTGTAGGATTTGTACAACTGGCTTAACAGAATTCCGTGACCTCGGACAGGCGCTGCGTGAAGCCTTTTCCAAGGAGGGTACCTCTATAACGCCCTATTGAGCAACAACTTTACGTCCCAAACGCCTTCCTTGCCCGCCCGCCCACAAACGGACGACCGTTCCTGACGCTCGTATTCATTCATTTGCTGAGCAAATTATGAAGCAAAGGGATTGGTATGAAGCGGCGTGCTGCATGCATATATGGGTACACATATGCAGCCGTATCTTCGGTAGCGGTGATTGGCAAGATGTACGGGAAACTCGTCCGAAATCGATTTACAAGTCACTGAGAACGGAGGCTTTTTCTTCGCCGGATTTTGACCGTTTCACTCCGTTCTTTCGCCATTTCCCCACTATACAGCGCCCTACTAGCATTTTAGGCTAAGTAGGAAACCATCGTGCCAACTGCCTTTAAGTATGTAGTTTATCGCTACTCCACCGAACGTGTCCACCCTGCCTAAAGACACATAGTACGCTCATACACCCTCAGGGTATAGACATCAGCCCCCAGATGTCGATGTGTCGTGGTCCCCCCGCCCAAACATGCCCGGGAATGGAGATACAGGGCCGTGAAACACGCTAATTCTTCCATGCTCCGCCCACTGCCTTTTTACGGCGCAGCGGGGATCTCCCCGCCGTTCATAACATCCGTCGTAAGCGCGCCTGTCGCGTGCGGCTCCTTGGCACTTTGCCAAGTCCTTTAATTGCGCTCCCTCAATACAAGGAAAACGCAATTTCCTGGTGCGGATAAACATGAGATTCTACAAAATCAAGAGCAAATAGATACGAGGGTCATAACTAAAAGTCAACTGTGGCACTTCTGGCAACATTCTCCTCGAGGCCACGTATTTCCACGAAACATGAAAACAAAAACGGCATACTCGTTAGTTTAATACAAGCAAGACGCAATTTACTGATGCGAATAAAATCTTAGGGTCTCCATGCTTCAAACACCAATTACAAGGAGATAAGATGACACAGCATAGAAAATGCAAGCACAACGAATTGTAAATTTAAACAAAACAAAATAAAAAATCAACGGAAAGGCAAACTTAAAAACTGGCCTTAAATATCTATGATCCGGCCCAAACCCATACCGAAATTAGAACAAACTGAGTGGCACGCCACACACCACACACACACACACTCATGTTCGGTTGGGGAATGCGCGGCCCTTGATGGATACTGCAGATGCAGCCGAGTTTCTCCTTGAGTTCTGCCCCTTGTCATCATCTTCTGCTCTTATTTTGTAGCACCTCCAATTAGTCGCTCAGGAAATTGGTTTCTCTTGTATTGAATCGAACTTAAAGACTATGCAAAAGTGCCATATCCGCACGCGACGGATGTATGAACGGCGGTAATTCTGCGCCGAAAAGGCATGCGGCATGAAGAATTAGCGTGTCTTCAACGGCCCATATCTCCATTCCTAGGCATATTCTCGGACAACGACACATCGACATCTGTGCTGATTCTCATACACCCTCATGTGTATAGCGTACAACGGTGGGGGCGGGAGGGGTGTCTTGGGGGCCGACAACAACGATTAGAAGCCTTCAATGTGTTACCCTAACACATGTGAGTGGCCGCTGTCGAGACATTACCTAAACAATGTCCAGAACAGCTCCGGAACTGTCCTTATGAGGCCATGAAATAGCCTAATACAGAGAGCTGCATAAAGAGATTCCACCACAACTGTCACTCCCTCATCAGAGCACACAGTAACTCAATTTCCGAAAAAAAGTTGCAAATAAGGCTTACTTTGATCTACTTACGAGAGAAAAGAGGAAGTGATCTACTTACACACCGAAGAAAAGAGGAAAAAATAAAGATGGACAAAGCTTGCACCACATCGATAAGTTTCGCTCAGGACAACGAACTGACCTATTCCGTGTCAGTAATTTCTTACGATTTAAGGGGTGGTTTAACCTTAAACACATAACTCTTCTTAAACACCACCTCATCGGGATTTAATCCAAATAAGCACCATTCGAATCAGCACACTTTTGCCAATGTGGCAGCAGTCGAGAAATCCCATGAAAAAACTGGGTGGTCGAGAATCCACGAAATGCGAAGGTCTTTTTTGCCTGGTCTTAATTGATGAAGTATTTTTCAGCAAGGAAGTTCTGAAAATGTCTGAAAAGGTGACAGTCGGTTGGTGAAAGGTCTAGAGAATATGGGTAGTAGAACTCAACTTCCCAATTCGTCTAATTTATGAATATGTGATTTGCTGAAACCGTGTGGCGCGCGTTTGTTCATGCAAAACGAACGGACACCTTTCTTTGATAATTTGTGCTCAAACTGGACAATATATTTCGTACATTGTCGTTTTCATCAGTAGTTTGCTTGATGGTTTGCCTGTAATGAAAAGTTATAGTGATTACAAACCGATGACTCACTCAAACCTGACCAAATATTTTTCTTCGCGAGGGTCGGCTTTGGGGGAAAATTACCTCGTGGTTCCTCCAAATCCAACCCACTTGCCGATAAACGCTCTCTGTATCAAACATGATCCCATTTTCATTGCACAGTGACAAAGACATTATTTTGCCAAAAAGCATGGGGAAGAAGAACCTCGAGACTGCCGATTTCTCTCCGTCACTTCCGATTGTGGTCACCCAATTGCGATTTTTTCACCTCCAATGCGTTCCAGACCATCTCAACGGTAGTGCACAACGCGCTAGCTTTCTGAACTATCTCTCGAACTGGTTTGGATGGTAACCTCAAACCCCTCTAAATCTCGTCAGATATTGCTTTAGGTCGACCGCTATGAGGCTCACCTTCAAGGCTGAAATTTCCAGAACGACATTTGTTGAGCCATTGCGGCACAGTGCTTTCTCTAGCACTATTGGGCCTCCACACCTGGTTAATTTGTTGAGCTGTTCATGGCGTAATTGCCCCAATTTATAGCCGAAAAAAAAATCGTCCGAAGTGCTCTTTTCACATGCTTGAAAAAATCTTGAAAAAAGAGGGTTTATCAAGCAATGGTGAAACGGCAATTATACCATCAGATAGCGCAAGAAATTCTCTACAGGATGCTATCTGGGCAAGTACAAGCAGAAATTTTTCAATGCCCGCACAATGAATTACACAAGATTAGTTCACAAAACGCAAGAAGAACTTTCCCGGACAACACTAATGAAAAGTCATCGTTACTTTTCACTCTTATATCTTGTAGCTATTTTTGTCAAGATGAACTTCCATGAATCATCAACTATGAAGTTACGATTTTTTTTGACAAATTCGGTGAAGAAGCAACGATTGAAACTAATGACTCATTTGACCTTACAATTGAAATTCTTAATAATCGATAACGTGACCAACTTAACCTAGGAGGAAAATTTTCGCTCATTGGATTTGGCGTGAAATTTATTTGCCACATGCTTGTCCTGCTTGCAATTTTCTTGATCTCTGGAGTGCAGACACCAAAGAAGGGGGCATGGTTTCTGAAGAATTACACTTCTATCGTCCATTTTACGAATCCAGTTCTATGACTCACAAAATGCCTACGAACACTTTTTGGACAGCAGTCAATTCGTGCCCGTTGTCTCATTCGCACGATAGCGTCTTTCTCAAACCTATATAAGTCAATCAAGTGCTGTTCACCTCAAACATGAGGACTACACTTCAAGTACTTCTACTTTTCTGCCTTCAGTACACAGTCTCTGCTGTGATAAGGTGAGTAGAAACCTTAACTTTTCGATTGGTTTTGGATTTCCTCATGTTTTTGAATCAGGACACGTCGGCGAAATGGGTCTTATTTGGTCCTTAGGGGGAGAGGGGGACGTTATTGCTTTTGAGAAGAATGTCTTCAGTTTCTGACTTTTTTTTTCTTTTCTTGATTTTTCCCGCCTAAAGTGCATCCTTTCCTCACCCTCGATGTCAAGTTTTCGAGGAGTAAGTGGAGGAAATTTTGGAAAAAAAACTGAGAAATATGGGGATTTCAGGAGGTTTGCTAAGGAAAGGGGATGGCGCTAGAAGATGAAACCTTTGGGGGATCGTCTTCCGCTGGGATATTCCTTAATGGCGGGACGTGCCGTGTCCTAGGTGCACTTATCGCTTCATCTGACTTTAGCATTTTTTTTTGCAGGATAAAACGAGGCGGATATGGCAGACCATCGTACGTACCACCGCCACCGCCGACGTATGTGCCGCCACCGAAGCCGTATGTGCCGCCACCACCCCCGTATGTGCCACCGCCAAAGCCGTACGTACCACCACCCACGTATGTGCCACCACCCACATACGTACCACCGAGGCCGTCCTATGGGCCACCTGTACCCAGTTACGGACGACCGCCATATGTTGGAGGAATTGGAGGAATAGGAGGAGGATTTGGTCCAGCTAGCTTCGCAACCCAAGGAGGAGGAGCGCCAGGAGGCACCTTGGGAGGCGATCCAGGGGCGTTTGGACGAAGCGGTGCAGGCGGCATGCCTCCTACCTTGACCACCATGGATATGGGTGGATTAGGTGCAAGCGGTAATGCAGGAAACTTTCCAACAAGCGGTGGAGCGCAAGAATTTGGCCCAAGTATGCTGACAAAAGCGAAATCTGCACCCCAAATAGGAGGGGCACTGATTTAGAAGAAATCAGGTAGTCGAGATGGTGAAGTTTCACTCTTTTTTTGACAAACGCTATCACAACATTGCTGTACCTTTAATATTTTTTACTATTAAATAAACTTTGCTTTGTAGTTTGTTGCTCAGAAACAGTTAACGAAGAGTATTACAGTTTTCAAGTGTTCATTGAACTCCATTACAATTGTACAATTAATCATGGACATTTGAACGAGAGAACATTTGCACCTTGTGTGACCCTGGTTATTGGCTTCTATTGTTTTGATTCTGAAAGTCTCGTACAGAACTAGTTCCCAGTTGATACCGTAGAATCCTTTTGCAACTAAATTGTAAAAGAGACTCAGTGAAGCGTGAACTAAAATTTGTGTTCATACATTTTTTTGTTAAAGCGCGAAATCGTAGAGGGTAGAGGGAGAATGCTTAGGGTGGCAAGAGAACTCCGACAAAACGAAGTTCTTCTTAGTTTTTTGGAACTTTTCAAACGCATTAACCCTAACTTTTGGTCTGTCCGGAAGCTCCGCCCTCTGGTCCGCCCCAGCGTCAGCAGCAAGCAAGAAGCATAGGTTTCCTCCAATGCAGCTGGTGAGCAAACTAGTACCAATTAAGTTCACGAGTTTTTCGACGATTACTCGAAGGTTTCCGAACGAGGGCATTTGTGGCGTTGTGGGTCGCCAGTGATGGGGTCGTATTTGGTCACTGGAGGAGGGAGAAAGTTGCATTTGGTAGCCGGAGAAAGGGAGCCTAATTACTGATGATCACCCACTTGACACCACTCAGTGTCACTCCACGAGACCAAAGGGCTACTCGGTTAACCCATTGCGTACCGCGTGCTGCACATGGTGAAGCACTCTTCGTTTGACATAGCTCAATTTTATAGAATTGTTAAATGACTTGAAAAAGATTCGTAGCAATCGCTGAATTTTTCTGCATTTTTCGAGTAATACCTCAACTATTACATTTTTTAATTAACTCTCCTTTACCATTAAAACCGAAATCCTGCTTAGTACACGACTAAAAAATTGTAAAATGGTGTGAGTGAACAGCTTTTAAGCATATTGCGTCACATTTTCGATTTCTTGCTTAATTTTAATTCAAGCCTTTTTTTGGCTAGTTTCGCATTTTCGGCTTTTCACACTTTATGAGCACTAACAATAGCTGAATCCCTTTTAGCACACGATTTACAAATAAATGTGATGGCACGATACGTTGCCAGAAATTTTTATGTGCTATTTATGTATAAGATAAAAATCTTATGTTTTTATACTCAGCGCGAAAATCGCCAGAAATCGCGTCGCGTAAATACACTGCGGTACGCAATGGGTTGAAGACACTTGGTACGCACACACACATTGAGGGTGGTATGTGACTACAAAGCCCCCGCAGCTGTCCGATGTGTTCGTGGTTCTCCTCCACACGAACAGTGCACCGGTCAGAGTGCGAGGCCGGGCTTGGAAAGTCTAATTCATCCATGCTCCGCCATAGTTGATCGCAACTTGCGGGACTGTAAGACTCCTTTATGCTAAACAGCCGTCCGCGCGGCGCGTGTCGCGCGCAGCTCTCTTGGCTTTTTGCCAAGTCCTGTAATTGCGCTCTGGAATACAAGTAAAACGCAATTTCCTGATGCGGATAACATTTTAGGTGCTGCAAAATAAGAACCGAAGATGATGACGAGGGCCAGAATCAGAGGCAACTGTGCTTGTCTGCCACATGCATTTCAAGAGGCGCCATTCCGCACAATGTAGAATGAAAACGGCCTAGCCTCCCACTCTTGTTAGAGTACTTCTATGGCTTTGGAGCCGAATTCGCGCCAGATCGCAGAAATTTACACGCGATTCCAATTAATTTGCGTTTCCTTGAATTTTTCATTTTTGTTTGATTACATCTCACATTGCGTTGTTCTCTTCATTTCTAGCCTTTGCCATCTTCATCACCTTATTCGGACTTTGCAGCATGAGCAATACCTCAAATGTTATTCGCATCAGGAAAATGTGTTTTTGGCTTGCATAAACTAACGAGTGGACAGGCCTAGCGCGTTTTTATTGTCACTGTGGGGATGCGCGGCCTTCGAATGATGTTGCAGAAGCAGCACTCTTGCTCTTGAGTTCTGGCCCTCGTCATCATCTTCGGTTCTTATTTTGCAGCACCTGAAATGTTATCCGCATCAGGAAATTGCGCTTTACTTGTTTTTCAAAGGGCAACTACAGGACTTGGCAAAAAGCCAAGAGAGCTGCGCGCGACACGCGCCGCGCGAAACGGCTGTTAGCATAAACGGTAGGCGGAGCATGGACGAATTAGACTTTCCCACGGCCCTGTACTCTAACCCTGTGCAGTTTCGGGCGGGGAAACCACGACACATCGACAGGCTTGGTGCTGATAAGTTACGTATACCCTCATGTGTGTGAGCGTACCAATGTGTCTCTGTTAGCTAGTCTGATTCTCTGAACATTTAAATGTATGAAAGAATAAACTTGATCAAACCCTTTGTTGGATGCGGCACGCATTCTACTTCCATTCAGAATCGTAGTGGCTTTATGAATGCGACGTGGCCTATACAATGCCCTGCGGGGAGGCAGCCGATGTACAAGTAAAAATTATTATCCCCCCCCCCCCAGGACGAATCTGGTACGCGAATTCCGCGTTCTCGGAGGGTAGAAGGCTTGGTTGGCCTGGGCAGGTGTCGACCTGGGATTCGAAGCCAGGACCGCGCGAGTGGTGAGCGCGCCACTTAGAACTACACCACCTCCTGCCCTCTGAACATTTACTTAGGCAGCGTTCATAGTTCGCGACAGCAGCGACGATCGCCCACGATTCGATCGGTGCATGGCAGCGCGCGCCTCAAACGCTATTGTGGATGCTCGCCTGATGAATAAGGGAATTCAACTTGTAAGACCTTCTTTACTCTTAATAAGGGCTACTAACAGATAAGCTACGACTTTCTACACATAAGCAGATCTGGAATATGAGGTAAGAAGGTTTCACTTCCTTTTAGGTCGGGGTAAGACCAACTCCATTTCCTGGGTGAGCTTCTTTTTTTTGTTTTTATTGTTTCAATTTATGCATGCGCCTCAGGAATTCCTATCGTCTAAGCTGTTCCAACTTCCAAAACATTCATAGTTTACAAGTCGAGTTCAAACAACGAAGAAAAAAAGAAACAAAGAAACTCTCCTAGGAACAAAAGCACTAATCATTTTGTGAAAACGTCATAAACGTCATAAACCGTACACCCCTGCGACGCAATGAAACCCAAGAAGCCTAAAAGCGTACCTTGAGTGAAGCTCGCGCGCTTTTTGCTCATTTCTATCCTAAATAAGAAAGAAAATAGAAAACAAAAGCGATTAAGCTGGGCTCACTGGGCTCACTTTCCCTTGTGTCAAACCAAGCTTCACTACCTGAGGAAATTGCAGTTGAAGGAAAAAAGCATACAATTGAGAATGCCGCTTATACCCCCAGAAGCGCTTGGAGGAGCAAGTACTACTCCTTATCGCCTGTGACGGGGTAAGGTTGTGGGCATTCGAAACATTTACAACACAGAACTGGTTACTCGTGGGATATTTAAGTTTCAGACAACCGCCATCTTGTTCTTTGTTGGAAAAAGACGTGACCACATTTGGGTCAAAATGAAAATGTCTTTCCAAGAGCACAGCCACCACGACGTTTAGTTGAGTAGGTAGCCACGCCTACCTCATCTCAGGGATTTCGTGTGCAATAGCGTTGGGCGCGCGGCTGCCACACGGACGATCGCGGCGGCGATCGCCGCTGCTGGTCTGCGAACCATATAAGCGCTGCCCCTTTGGGGTCTTCGCACAAAGTGTTTTTAGATACTTGCGCACTAGAGATCTTGAACCCGAGTTTGGCGCTGTTGAGCTACTAACTGAGAACACTTCATCTTCCTTGACCTATTTATTGAGTGACTGCTAACAGTATCGACCAGCAAAAGTTTTCGGTCTGTAGAATCACCAAAAAAGAAACGCCTTTTTCGCGCACCATAAAAGTTTAGCGTCGCCGCGCATGGGGTGGGCAGAAATATTGCAACTTGAGGGCCAAGACCCTCAGTTGCATATTTCTGGTAGTGAGATATTCCCCCAAAAACAGGGCCAAGCCCTCCACTACTGGTCCCATTGCAGCGAGAGTGCGAAGCCGCCCATTGTCAAGCTCAAGAAGATCTACAGCGTTTGCTTCAGCCTGAAAGAGCTGAGTGATTTCCAGGGTTGACTGTGTGGAGACTGTATCTCTGGTCAGGAATGCCTCACCATTTTTCGGAAAAATGGTGAGCTAATTTTCAAAAAAAAGTCCCCGAAAAGTGGTAGGAAGTTGGCACAGGAAGGAGAGGGGGTTGTACCAAACGAGGAATTTCTGAGAGGGTGGACTGTATTTTGCAAAAATTCCCTGTCCAACGGGCGCAGTCTAACCCTGTCTCTGGTTCTGGGATACCACGCGAAGCGCTGGCAAATGAAGTTGATTATCATTACAGTGGTAGGACCCGCTGGTGTTAAGGGTGGTTTTATGTCACAAGGGTGAGAAGCGCAAACTTTCTGAAGTTGAATGATCCCTTTCTTGGGTGTCGCCCTTTGCCACTTGATCTTCATTTGGTAGCAAAGTTTCGCTTGGATGTGATTTGATCTATACAATGACTTCTCGGGCCACTCAACGCGCGAGTCAGTGTCTTTATCTTCCTAGACAGGTCTGGCCCCCGTGTTTAGCTTGGTTGGCCCAGGCGGGAGTCGATCCATGTTGGCTCGTCGTCCTGTGGGGGTGGGAATCGCACCTTGCCAGCGCAACCTTCGCCCTTCTATGAGGTATTGTCATTCATATTCCGAGGCAGCAAGTGGAATGGCCCAAATTATTAATTATTAAATTATCAATAGCAGTACATAGAACAAATATCTAATTATAAGCGCTCGGCTCTCAATTTTCTGGTCAACTGATTACAGTCGGATTGCTGGCGAATGAAGGGGCGTGTGAGTGAGGCTTGGTATGGCACGGCGCCAGCTCGTTCTCCACCAGTA